ACCGCCCTTTAATGTGGCTCTTGCCCAAACTCGCTGTGTACTGATCGAATACTAAGTTTAAGCATAATGTTGAATGAATTCTAAAACAACTATATATCATAGCCAATTATGAATACATCACATGAAGAAGGTTCTATTGTCACGTGTTGATGAGCGAAGCACTAAAAATGGCTGCAACACTGGATCAGTCGGCTCATGATGATCCTGACAGCTCTTTCCTACAATTGTCAAGTCTTATGAAATGCGGGACTGTTGCTCAATGAATTCACAATTCTTTGGCTACCATAGTCCGGCGGCTTTTGTGGGCAAGCATTGGAAGCTGATAGCGGCTGCTAATATTGGTAAATATATGAAAGCTGGAAGCTGGTAATCACAGCCATAAGTACTAAATCAATGTAATCACATTTTTTCGAAATGACTCTTCGTTTAACAAAACTGGCATAGTATATAGCGGTAGTCAAAAAGTTAATAAACAGTTTTACACATATATGTATTATATATGTATGTAAATTAAGGTTTGTGAAATTCAGGTTTCATCCAAAAATGTGCTGGAAGGATATTACCAGTGCAATTACTTGCAATTTAAATATTGGGCGGTACATTGTTGCCGCTGCCTCGCTGTTCCACCCCAAGTCCGTACCGTTAGTTGAATTCACGTTCAAGTGTACACCACTGTCGCATACGCTAACAAACTGTACGGCGCCAGCGATTGTGTTTGATTGACGGGTGGCTACTTCTTCGATGTAGTCTTCAATAGTGACACCGTAAACTGAAGTAATCCGCACGTGAAACGGAAAGTCTATGCGGGGTGTTCCGGTAGTTTTTTTGAAGTTTTGATTAACGGTTATTTCGTACTCGACCCAACCGCGATCATCGCCCTCCGCTCCCGGGTACAGCGATACGTTTCTGATTCCGTGGATATGGTCAAGTATTTTCAACCCCCACCAGTAGCTTCCTGGGCTTGTGGGAAACTTGAAGTTGTATCTGTAAACATACAATATATATTACAGTTTGTACAAATCAGGTGAAAATTGAAAGAAACGATGCAGCGCCTACGTGTGTAGGAATAAAAGTAGACCTACGAATACAGTAAATTCACCCGAAAAGAAACCTTGTTCAAATCTGCGCATAGATAAAAAAATTAATACTGCCCATTCTTGCTCTAACACGATATCCTCAATTATTTTCTAAAAACCCAACAACGACCATACAATGTAGACGAGAGCGTAACATTTTAAAAATTGTTACTCGACATTGTGTGCTGTTGCATACATTTAAACATGGTTTATATAATTTAACATGTGGTCCGTGATTATTATAGAATACGTATGAACATATCATATGACGTAATAGCCTGGAAATCATCTTCTGTGTTAGTCAAATAAATTAGTGTGTGTGTATCACTTCTTTACTGAAAATATAAAGAGCCGTAATTTAATGCAGTATATAACATACTAGTATCTAAATCAGAATAATGGGTTCGGTGACTCTCTTCATCTCTCTCTATGTGATTAGAAGTTTAATAAAGTCCCTTTGCTTTGAAAATATCGGCATTTTAAAAGTTAGACACGGGATATGCATTCCCGAGAACATTCCGTTTACAAAACTAATTGTCGATTACCTTATGTTTCCAGCAACATTGCATTCGACGACTCGCCATGTGATCATCACTCGTCCACGTTGTAAGGGGTAGAGCAGTTCAAAGGCAGGTTGGCTCAGGTCAATGTTGTGCTCGTGTTTCAAGTGACACTCGGGACATGAGTCGACGATAATGATAACAATCTTAACGCCAATATCATTGGTTATTTCCACACATTGCCCACACATCTGAAAAATAAAATAAAACTTATTTTGAAAGTAATGAAATAAATTCGAGCAAAGCACATACTAGTAATTTATTATGCTTTTCAAACATCACTGGAACAAATGTAAAAGTTGTTGTGAAAAGCTTTACAGAAAGTAATGCAAACATACAAACTATTTATTGACTTGCATAGCTATAAAACAGCGAGAATGCGTCAGGTTCGTTGTGGTCAGGCCGACAGTTCGTTGTCAGGGCGATTAGAAAATATATTTAGCATTTTACAACGAATGTACATGTAGTTTGAAACTGGGAATGAGAGAATGACTATATGGCAAATACCAAATTATGTTTTAGGATGAGAGTATTGTTTTTCACATGAAGTTCGACAAATCATTAAAAACAGTATTAAATGTAACAACTTCACATTCACATGAATATAATGGGTACATTGATGTGATGGATTTTCGGTCACGTGACTCTCTTCAATAGACCCGGTAATTCAATCATGGTAACATATTAGTTTTAAAACAATCATAGTACTGCTGTCGTGCGATATTTGAACTGAGTGGTGAGTGAGTGGAATTTTCATTTTTAATCACACGAAAACGATATGAATTATGTGTGAAGATTTTAAGTACATGAAATCTGACGATTTGGTTCAACATATATTTTAGGTCGGTTATTTTATCGTACGTGAACATAATTACTTGTGCTTCGTTCAGTATTCCTACGTGGTTATTGAGAGAAACACATCGTCCGTCGATTCAATGCGAATTATGTGGGTCATAATGAAGTTCATCCCCAGGACACTCGAACTAACTGAGCCACTCGAAAATGCATTGCCATTATTGAACAGTATCTAGCAGACATGACAATCGTCGTTTTAATACCTTGTCTACACACTTGTCTTTGACTGAAGTCTTATTTCGTGTGAATACCTACTTACAGATGTCTCGCACAATACGCCCGACTCGATTTTTGTTATTGTGAGTTGACCAATTATGCCACATAAGTAGCTATTAAACAAGCCAGCTTAAACTTTTCAACTTTTCAATAATTGATTTTTTTCCAGATATTACTAAACTGTTCACGTTGTCGGAACCAATTACGAGTTTTCGGTCTTGTCCCGTCTTGTCGCTTTTGTTATGACAGTACTTATTAATGTAACCGCGCTGAGATCACAATTACATATATCCTGCGATGTTCTGCGTTTAGTCTGTATATTTAGATGTTTTCGTAGCATCAGTAGGACACGTTTAATCTTTCTCAAATTGTTTACACCGCGTTGTCATACTGTTAACAAATTGTTGACATCGTATAACTGCCGGACAAACAGGATTTTGCCAATAAAATATCTACATTTAATGAAACATTGGCTCAAATTAAACAAGAGCTCCAACTAAAACGACTTAATAATAATTCAACCCTTTCTTAATGCTAATCACGCTTACTTGTGTATGTCAACACTGGAACCCGTGTAAAGCGTGCGTTATAACTTTGTTGCACCATATCTGTAACTTTGCATAAGTGCTGGGGTATTCATTTTGAGACATAAGTTGTAAAAACAGCAACATATCCCAATAATTCATTTGTTGCATATGGAATTAGGGTTCTCTATCATCATATCACATCATTATCATAAACAATCAATATTTTTATTCAGTGTTGGAAAAAGAGAGTGAGCAATTACACCGTCCGGATATGATTCGTGTACCTTATTCCTGAGTTTAATTAATGACCGTGTTACCCTGAAAAAGAATGTGTTGTCTCTGATTTCTCTGATCTCCTGTATTCAAGTCTCTTCTAAAAATTTAAATTAATTCCCAGCCTTTGAATTTTTGGGCCGTAGTATTTCTCCTATATTGGCACTCGCCAACGATCACAGTGATTAGCTGGTTATACACGGGTCTCACATTGATTTTGGTCGACTTGGCGTAATTGAAAATTAGTGCTATAGTCACGTTCTGTGTCACGTGGTACATATGTATGAGTACGTCATCAAATCATGTGTCCCAGTACGTCATCAAATCGCCATTTCGTGTCACGTGATACATGTGTCCCAGTATGGCACTAAATCCGCCATTTCGTGTCACGTGATACATGTGTCCCAGTATGGCACTAAATCCGCCATTTTGTCTCACGTGGTACATGTGTCCCAGTACGGCACCAAATCCGCCATTTTGTGTCACGTGATATATGTCTTCGAGTACGGATCCAATCCGCCATTTTGTGATAATTGGTACATGTGTCTGGCAACGTCATCCAACCATAATCTTTTTGGCCATCCCGGTTTTCGTCGCTAAGGTTGTCCATTGAAAATATTTACTACATCATGTTATGGCAAACAAATATTTTATTGATGTACCGTAAATTTCTGAAAGCATATTTGCTCTTCAGTTGCGCCCTCTATAGACGTAAAAAGGTGAAAGCAATGGCGTTGAAAGCGACAACTCTGTTGAATGGTGTAGTCGTTTGCCATTTCGAATAAGTATATCGTCCAAGAGACGACCACAAATCAGCTCAGTATCCACGAAACGAACGACCTTTCTGACATTATCGTCACAGAAGGGCTTTGTCACTAGAGGACGCGATTTACAGGACTGATACGCCAATGACTCATTGTAACCTCGTTATGACAAACTCTTTGGGGACATACAATTAGTTTGTCACAGTGAAGTGTTCACTATAATGAAGCACATAATACATTTGGTATGCTATGAACGGGGGTCATGCAATGTGTTCATTATACCGGAAAATTCACTGTAAAGTGTTCATTGTAAGGAGGTTACAGTGTGTCTAAAATTAGAGCCAACTGCCAATGCACAGGAGTGGCCTTGTCTAGATTTACTTAAATGAAAACGTACTATGAAGTATTTGATCAACTTTTAATCAACAAACGTGCCCGGCTGCTTTTCCATCCCTCAAAATGTGTTTACAATAAAATCTTTGATTTTCGTAGCAACTAATAATTACGTAAAGTGATTGGCTAATGAGAGTAGTCCCGATATTGAAGTGAACGTTTCGAACTGTATTGTATATTTGTCGAAAGGCGCCACGTATATAGTGACCAGACAACAAGTATCTGTGTGACGTCATCGTGGGTAAACTACGATAAATTTTCGTTTCAACTCTCACGTGAGCATCAGTATTCAGTAGGTACAGAAACGATGAAATATTTACCGTGTCTGGCAAATAATGATAACTCCCTAACATCCCTTCGATGTCAGACACATTCAGGGCACCGACCATGATATCATCCCTGTATCACAAGCATACACACCCCGGCAGTAGATGCAGGATTTCGGCGTTCTCGTAGCGGGTGATCTCGCATGTGAACGGTCCACGGAGCAGTGGCGGCGGAACATGGGAAATCGAAAAAAGAATGTGTGTGTGTGGGGGGGGGGCAGGAAATAGCGATTCAGAGGGTCTATATTCCAACATTTTTAAGTGGGGGCATGCCCTGACCCCTAGTAACTTGAAGGTCACGCCTTCGGCGCAAAGTTGGTGAGCAGATCTTGCCCCCCCCCAGTGAAATGTCGTTCCGCCGCCTCTGCAGAGAATTACATCTCAGCCATGCATAAAATTGACTGTAACGGTAGATACCCAAAACTTAAGACGAGTACCAAACGATCAACGTCATCAACATTGCTGGAGCGTCAACAAACCATGATGTAAACATGAAAGTAATAGTGCTTTCTTCGCATAGCTCAAAGTTTTATATATGAGGAATATAAATAAGAAATATGCGACCGACACCTTGTATAATTACTTTTGGCAATCTAAACAAATATTTCTTTTTTAAATAGTTTTTTCGTAAATCAATTTCAATTGTTGAATTTTCTGGTAATGTCAATATGTCGATGGTTTGGCTGACCATAAAAAAATCTCAGTTATGATGATTTTAAACAAATATCCTTGAAAATCTAACTTGCTGAAAATGATTCTCAGATATGATGATTTTAAACAAATATCCTTGAAAAGCTAACTTGCTGAAAATTATTCCAAATTACGAAAGTCTTTTGAAAACGCATCTTCGCTTGAAGAATTCAAATTGTTCATAAAAAGTTCCATTTTTAACAAGTTAAAATTGCGTTGATATCGAACTTGAACGTTTCTGGACCATATCGAGACATGTGCTAGATCTATTAACTAACTGTACTGAGTCTCCTTTTGATAAATATCGTGCTGGAAAGTTTACTTTAAATCCCCCATGCGTCATTTAACCGGACAACCAACAACAGTGCAGCAACCTTCTCATTTCTTTTGTTGTTACTCTGTGTAATCGCACTTTTCATCTAAGTCGATTTCAAAAACTCCAGAGCCACCACTTTAGCGGATTATTTATTTGAATTGACGGGATTACTTGCTTTCTATTGCATCTAATCTATGACTATAAACCATTGTTGAGCTGCGTACGATGCGTGAATCTAAGTAGGACGTCTATTGACATTCAAACGTAACACTAATGACTTGAATTCAGGTTTGTGTCGCTCTGCATAATTTAATATTTTCATTTAATTTACGTGAAAGTGGTGACAATAAAACAATCATATTAAAAGAGTACTGTGAACTGTGATTCAACGTATACCATCAACACATTCAACAGTTTCAGGCAAAATGCCGGTTATTCACAATTTATGAAATAAGTATTTTATATCAGGAGTTCAAATAATATAAGAATAAGTCACTCTGTGATTTATCTTATCAGAGTGAAGACAAACTACTAGTAAAACAATTATTCCGTATGCATGTATCAACGCAGCGACGAATTGGACGAAAATTTTAATAAGCTTTTCTCGTGTATTTCGGGACCATGGGCGAAATCCAGCATTGACCAAACGTGCTGAGCATCGTCCATCATTTGGTCACCTTGCTACTGTGCCGCTCTTCTTCAACACAAAGAATTTAACCGCATAAATGTATCAATTTTTGTCAAATGACGGACATTATTCGACATAAATCATAACTTACCAGCAATTCATCCAAATCTGGTACATTCATGGCACCGACCATGATGTCGCCTTCCGTGTCAATCATACACGCTCCGGCCCCGGCAGCCGCATCATCGGCGTAATCATAGTGAGTAATTTCACCGCTGAAAGGACCGTGGAGCGTCGTGTCGCAGTTAAGCTCATACTCGGCGATGGATGTTCGCAGAAAAGCGAATGTGAAGAAGTATAAAAGCTGGCAAGAACGCTCAAACATCTTAACTTTTAAGAACTACGAACAACTGTTGATTGGACTGGAAACTCGACGTGAATGTAGTAGTTCTCAACAAGCCCCTTTTATATAGTTTACTCACAACGACAATGCGCACAGTTGACGTATCCGTGACCTGGCAACGTTTACACACGGACCCAAGATGTAAAACCGAACGTATTGTAATGTGATACACATTAGTTGTATTGTTTGATCTATTCCTTTGGACATCTAAATTATTAGCTTTACCCCTGATGGTTTTGTACTCTTATTTAGACGTGAGATCAACATGTATCAGGTCAACGCACCACCAGGAATAAAAGATACCATTCTACGATGAACTGAAATGAATCTCAATAATCCACATACCATATCAGTATGTTTCAGAAAGATATTGTAAATGAATTCCCCTAGGCATAAATCGACCACCCAAGTTGCTACAAAGTCTATACCAAAGTACAATTTGTTTCAACAATGCCTATACTAGTACACAAGTTTGTATCAATTACAGTTTGCTTATAAGTACTAGGCTAAGGACTCAGATGTAGTTCGGGAGATTTTTATCACAAATTTCTATCCAAAGCGCACACCTAAAATTCCAAAAACAAAACAAAACCGGAGCCCATTTTATCTGCACGTCCACGGTAGGTAATAACTCGGAATATAAGCCACAGTATTCAAAGAACGCCCTCTACGGACAGAAAAAGCAGTAGTTATTTCAAGAGACAGCTTAGATAACTCATTAGTATTTGAATAATACTATAGCTTATTGCCGAAACAACTTGTTTTCATCGTATTGAACAGGATTTACGCAACTGTAGTCACACAAAAACACAACTATTATTTTTACTCATATTTTCCTTTTTTTTCACAGAACAAATAATTTTTTTACCTTTGATTGAGTAACGCGTCGTAGAATGCAGATGCGGGCATGAAAAACACACTTTTGAAATGCATGAAGTCTGGCGATTCCAAAAATATATACTTTCCTGAGTCTTTGTGTAGTCATTTAGTCACAATTAGAAGATGAAAACAAGTATGCAAATTATAATCTCGCTACCTTAATGTGCGCGGCATGTCCTAATTGGGTTTGCCCAGTGCTTGTCAAATATTATCGCAAGAATCGTACAAAAATAAAAACTGTGTGAACATCTATTATGGGGAGCAGGTATATTTTTAATATTAAGGTTGTAATTCGAGTGGAATTCATAATTCGATGTATACTCGAATCTAACACGTTGTATGTGTTTTCAGCCGATTAGCACTCTGTCAGTTACGCGGTAGTACCGCAAGGGTGTTCCTTTAAAAGATTCAAGCGTTTTCACAGTGCGTTCCTCCGGGGAAAACTATTTACTCTGTCTCATTGTTGCGGACAATACTTCGAACTGCCTCACAAATGAAATCCGATATCTCGCTAGGAAGGAAAGTAGGGAGACTCCCGTTGAAGCCCATCTCCCCCACAATGTCACGTTAACTACCCACACAATTGAAAATAATTTGAAATTATTCCTCTGCGTGGTTCGCATACAGTTAAATGCAGTCACGCGTGTACATGGATTCACAAATAAATGTTTCCTAGTGTCGGTATTTCAATTTACGCTGTTATCATAGTCATAAACAGAATACATTTAGACAAGACCACTAGCAAAGTAGAGGCCATCAGCTATTTTAATTGAGAGGGAAAAAATCGAAGAAGGAAGAGCTACGAAATGGCTGGACTTGTCGGTTATACAAAAATCGAGAATCATAGCAAGAATCTTTTTTTTTTTCCAAATCCGGGATAGTTTTTTTTCTTTTACCGAAGAAGGCCGCGAGGAAACGCTTGATTGTTTAAAAGAGTAACCACAAACTGGAAAACGCATAAAAAGAGAGACCTAAACACCACCTTATGTCCATTACTAGTGGTACATTGCAGATCGTAACATACGATAAGAGCATTGACACCCTAGGGCATCTATTGAAAAACCCATAAAAGCTGATTCCCAAAACATCACATTGTGTACGATACTGGTGGTACTCTGTACTACGATAAGAGCATTGGAACCCTCAGGCTTTTCATATACATTGTATTTTCCGACTGAAAATCACTCCGAATAATACTCAATAATGAACTTGGACTTTACAATCACGTTTTCACTACAATTATTATAGGTATTCGTGGGACTGCTTCCTCGTTTTGATTCATATAGTAAGCCAACATAACTTTGAATAAACCTATGTTGTTTAATGCTTTATTATCGAACGAATAAATGAACGCACCTTGTTACTACCAAATAATGAACTAATTAAAAAAACACGTGTTAATTTAAAAGCTTTCTGATTCTTATATACGATTTTGAAGTAAATGCACTCCAGTGTAACTCAAATATGAACGAATTCACAGCAACCGACAATAGTTGAATATACAATATGATGAACACGGTGTTTATTTCAAGATACTCTGATGCTGAGAACATACCACTAGGAAATCAATATTGTTAAAGCACCACTAGTCGCCTGATTTAAGAACACGTCAAATAGCAAGTGTGACAACCGGTCGATGAACTTATAGGAGGACGTGTTCGGCTGCTTTTGACAAGCGCTGTTTGAGTCGAAACAAACACGGTATAGAACTAGGGCTACTTTTGTAAACTGTGCATATTTGTCAATGGGGAGCAATGGGAACGAGTGTAGATTTGATGAAGAATTCAATGAAATCGTTCGATAAAGGTGGAGGCATTGTTACATAGTCGTGCTCTCTCACGGGTAACTATAATGAAAACGTATTTGTGTAAATTTATCCACATTCCCTATAGAGGGACTGTGATTTACCGTATACTAATATTTTGGATCAACTACCATTTGAAGTGATTTGCATTGGTCCGGCTGATTGGCTGACATATCTAGCATTTAACATTCTAACCAATCAAGAAACGTCTTACTTGCACGGTTGTCTGATATCGCCCACTGTTTGTCGTTGTATTGACGCTACCTCGTTAACCACGTCCCATGCAGTCAGCTAATGGCGTTGCTGTCAATCCGACTTGTCTGTCGTTCTCTATCGCTTTAATTGACACATGTCTTTCATGACTTGGGAACCCGTCGACAATTCATTCTACTAAATTGGCGCAATCACGTTTTACCGGACAGTTTACGGTAAACATGATTAGAGTACTTAACGGAATCAAGGACTGGCGAAGCGAGACTTGCTTTGCGGTTTAACTACGTGTCTGGCTAATCACCCCCTTTAGACCGATGAACGAAATAGAGATCAACGACCTCGGATGCTGTTATTTTAATATTCCCGATTTGAGCCGATTCATTTTCGGTTTGTCATTAACCCACCCCACGCCACATGCATTAAACTGTATGGTTTGTGGTTTCGTCAAGTCCGATCGGGCGTATAATCCTGGGAACTGGAAAAGTAATGTTGTCATCATTAGTTATACTAATTGTCGAGTTATAGCGTTATGAGATAAAATAAAGTGACGTCACAGTTTACGACCATGTACCATCATGGACCTCTCCAGTAATCCGATTTAGCCGGGAAACGCACACACCATATCAACGTGGATTGTTGGTAACGTTATTGTTTTATTACGAGGTTGAATGTGGTCTTTAACCATATAGTACTGTTGACGACACAGAAACATTCCACCACTAGAGGGCGCCGGCGATTTTTAGGAATAGTGCACAGTCTTTCTTTCTTTCTTTCTTTCTTTCTTTCTTTCTTTCTTTCTTTCTTTCTTTCTTTCTTTATTTCTTTCTTTCTTTCTTTCTTTATTTCTTTCTTTCTTTCTTTCTTTCTTTCTTTCTTTCTTTCTTTCTTTATTTATTTATTTATTTATTTATTTATTTATTTATTTATTTATTTATTTATTTATTTATTTATTTATTTATTTATTTATTTATTTATTTATTTATTTATTTATTTATTTATTTATTTATTTATTTAATATAAATAAATTAACAAATAATAAATGAATAATTTATTTATCTTATACGAAGTGGATGGACGTATCACCTGAAGCATATTTTTAGAGTCATGCCTGAAGCGACGGGAGAGCACCGAGTGTCACAATAATAATATTCTTATAGTCTCAGCTGGGTACCTATAGTACCGGTCAAAAGGGGGCGTGGAAAAATACATCAACAAATCTCTATGTGATTACCGGTTACTTCACAGTTCACGTACAAATCATCCGCCGTTGCATTGAAATCTTAATAATATGACTCCGACAACGGACCGAGTCGGATTGTGATCGGGTGTCGCATTAATCACTTTTGACATAGGCAGCACGCAGTGTATTATTGTCCGGGCACTGTTGAGGCCCCGGTTAATCCCGCCCTGTATTCAGCGTTGTAAAGCACGGACACCAGCCGAGCTCACGGTACAGACTAAGCGCCGCCACCCAGAGTTAATACAATGCTTGAAAAAAGTTTGCCGGAACTGGTGACTTGTATTGTGGTAAAATATGTGACATGACGGGGGATATTGGAAAGTAACTCATTTTTGTTTGAGGTCAATAACAAGAGCGGCACTCCCATTTGTTATCGTCTCATCAGTATTTTCTTGATAACTAAAACCATAAAATAGCTCTATGCTAAAACTAAAACTTACATTTAAAAAAAATGTCAAGTGAACTCAAAATTTATAGATATTGCAATAAGATGGTTCGTTAAATTTAGCCGAACTCATCGAAATTTATTTTTGTAACATTAACTATGCTGATTATTTATATATTTATTCCCAGAGAACTAATAATTATTAGTTGTCTGAGATTTAATGTTGAAGAGTAAAGCGAATAGCACCAATGCGTCAATTCAATATATAGTATACATTAGTATATCAGTGAATTACAACAACTGGGGCCAGGGAGGGTAACGTGACAAATTAAATCATCTTGTCAGATGTATGACTTATACCCCACACTGTTCGCCTAATCTGATTGAATCCGATGTAAGGATATACGCCATTTAATTTGTCTAGTTTTACATATATATATATATAGTATCTCTATCGTCTT